GGCTTTAATATGCCATCGCACAAACCAAAGGGAAACAAATTTCTGCACACCAAAATGAACAGAAGCTATGTTTCCACGCATTTATTTAATATTCCAGTAAATATTTAGACCCTTTTCCAACATCACGTTGTGTTTTGAAGACAAAAGAGAGAAGGATTTGCTTTTCCTGGAAGAATCTGACTTCAAAAACATCAGCTGGAGGAAAGTGAAACTTCTGTGAAAAGATTGAGGGATGAAAAGGGAGCAGCATCACTACTTCAAAGCATCAATATCCTGATGTAAAAACCTCAAATCCAGTGTTTGAACTTTAAATTCATGGTTTTGAGATGTAATGTGAAATAAAGCAGGGATTGAGAAGACAGATGCAGGTGCATGGACTGTTTTCCCCCCTATGTGATGTTTTTTTCCCCGTAATATTAAAATTGCAGAGGAATATAAAATTACTGACATGCTCACAGCTCTGCAGCTGTTTTGCTTTATACACTTTCAAAATGTGGGAAGATGTTCTGTCACATCATGTCGCCTGAGATCTGCTGTACCACTGTTAGCCTTGACAATATTTTGTGTTGTGAATGAAAACATAAACATTGTTTTGAGAACAAATTTTAACATGCGGAAAAATATGGAGGACCAAAACTGACATAATAATAAATAAAAGCATAAATATATATTTAGTTTCTCCATGAGTTTTTCATCAAGAAACTCCAAACACCAAATTTCAACCATTCTACAGCTGATTAAAGGTAAAGTTAGACCATAGCGATTTTCTGTTTTTCTTTATTTATCTAGAACCAGCTGGCACAGCGGCAACAGGTGCAGGGATTCTTGTGGCAACTTATTTCTGGTTGCAAGGCACCTTCCCCACTGAGTCACTGCATAAGTGCTTAGACCAGCAAGAATGGAAATATTTGTGTCATGCAATGCCAATACACTGGTCTGGTGCCAAAAATATATGAAGGCTAGCAAAGGAGCATGCTCTGAAACGACCCACACTGAACAACAGACAGAGCAGAAGAAGAAGTTGGAAGTAGATGTTGAAACAGCTCAAATAAATAACTGATGGATAATTTTGTTCTTGTAAATCAGAGCTGATTTTTATTTTTTTTTAAATTGCTTTCCAATGGATCCCGTTAGTTTGCAGCAGTTAGGGAAATGGTTAGATTCCTAGAATAACTGCAGGGGTTTCCCACTAAAAATGCTTACAGTTTATAATAATTTAGTAGTTCAAACATCAAATATACCTTCACATGCATCAATTCGCACAGTGGAACAGTCTTAGTGTTACTAATTTATTGTTGCTCTTGGGGAAACAGCACCGAGGAAAATAGCCAACAGCGTGTCAGCCAGTGGCGATTCCCACACTCCTCAACAGACAGTCGTCAATAAATAATAGCATTAGCCAAAATAAGTGGCTATTTAAAGAACAAATCATACTAATAGATTAACAGTAAATACATAAATATTACATTACTTTCTGTGTGTTTTATTCATAAATGTTGATATATGAAAAATTGTTAAGTGGTCATTTAATGTATTATTTCACTAATATTTTATTAAAGTGGTTTACCAGTTTGGATAATCTGACTTTCTATCAATGAAGAAAAAACATAAAAAGTAAAAAATACACCAGACACAGACCTGCAGCCCATGGGCGGTTCTAGATGGGGCACAGTATTTAATTATACTAAATAAATGTCCATTTTAAATATTCAGTGTTAAATGATTTTTAAACCTTCACAATTTTATTTTAACAATGAATTAAAAATTATAATACTGCACTTAAAAGTTTTAGCTGCTGTATGGAGATAGCATCACACTTTCCATCTGCTAGATCAGGATCCCTGGAGACACAAGTGGCTCTTTGGTTCACAGTATTAAATGATGAAATATTGCTGTTTTTGTTTAATTCTTTTTGAAGTCTCTCCATAAAAAGATACTGACTACACGGGCCCCTCTAAATTTGGTCTAGAACCAGCCTCTAATGAAAACAATAAAGATCATTTTATAGTTTTTAATCAGCTATTTGGGGCCAGACTTCTACCATCAGCACCTTTATTCATATGACAGTTTGCAATGCAAAATATTATGCTTGGTGATATTTTTGCAAATGGCAAGTTTAAGTGGCAATGCAGAACTTAATTTAGAATTATTTTTATATTTATGAATGGAAATTCATAAATAAATTGGACAGTATTGGCTTTATGTATTTGAAGAGTATTTTATAGTTGTTCAGTACAAAATTGTGTGTGCAAAATATTTGGATAAATAATGGGTAACTCTGATCCTGGTACTTAGCCTTGTTAATTACTCTTGTTGCTCTTTTTTGAATTTTGATTAGTGACTGTTGTGCTGTTTTGTAATTAATTACCCAAACCTCTCTGGAGTGACTTAAAACTAAAGAACAGTGCAGGATGTCAGGGTCAGGCTGTTTCTGTGTCTGTGAGCAGAAAGTTGTTTTGTACTGAAACTAAGAGAGACTCACTTCATGAACTGTGAACTGAAATAGTAAAACCCTGACTCATAATGTTTACTTTTCCATAGATGGATAAACATTCTTGTAAAAAGGTCCAACAGCCACAGATAAAAATAAGGGTAATGCAATTTCTAAGTATGATTTTCAAATAAAGTTCAGGTTAATGACTAGTTTCCACTAGTCATTAACCTGAACTTCTACGTTGATAATAAACTGGTTTTAGGTTTATTAATCCTATGAATTTAGTAAAGTGTTCTTCAAATGACTGGAAATGCATAGTTTTGAGTAGATTTTATTTTAATTTCCGGGGGAGAAGACCACACTGGGACTGTGTTGCTCCACAGCTGCTTTTGTCTCAGTGTTAACAGATGTTGGCAGGTACAATGTAGTCTTGAGATTCTGTTTCAAACTGAGTTTATACACCTCAGGAAAAAGTTTAAAGTTTCTCTGATTTTACTCTTTATAAGTATAGGTTTGAGTAAAATGAACATTGTTCTTTTATTCTATGAATTACTGAGAACATGTCTCTTAATTTTGTTTGTGAGTGTATGTAAATAAGCAGTTAGATTTAGAAAACTGCACCAACAAATATCTCCACATGGGTCTCAGCCCTGCTGGGGGCTAAGACCCCCTAAAGGTCAGATCCTAGAATCGCCCCTGGTGTCAGCTAGCATCGTTTGCTAAAGCTAGCTATGTCAGCTTCTGAAGGTGTTTTTTTTTTCTTGGAATATTTTAGATATACTCTACGAAAATAGTTTGCAAATGTTCCATGAATAACTTTGAGTTGACATAAAAATACACTGCCTTTTTAAAATTTGTCCTGTAGATTTATGAAAGTGAGAACGCGGAGATGGATGTGACGTCAGACCCCAGGTAACAGCTAGCGCCATATGGCTAGCGGTCTGTTGTTTTTAAGTCGGAATTTCAACATGGCGACGCCATGTACATTGTTTTCAAGATCTCCAACAAACATCATTTTAAGTTTTACTTTCATAAGGAAACACCACTTTGAATCTGTACAGTTTGGACTTGCAGGCTTTTCACTGATTTTAGACGCAAACGTATGTATGTGTCTTGTAAAATAATCAAGTTTATGCCATATCTTACTACTGATGATGCAATGAGCTGCCATATTGAAATGCAAAGGAGCTGCTCCCAGTTTCCCAGTGGGAAATCCGACTTCGCATGGTGTTCCAGTTAATTTTTTCTCCAGTTCAGAGTACAACTGGGACGCAACATTGGTGTCAGAGAAAATTAGAGGTTTCAAAGAGTCAATACGGTCCAGTTTACAATATCATCGTTTCAAAACCAATCTATTCATTCATCACGCTGCTTTTATGTTTGAAAGTCATTTTAATCAGATACCGGAGAAAATGCTGTAATCAGATTTTTGTATCTGGGTGCATGCAAAGGGGGCTGTGTGGTTTGGGAACCCAGGGTTCTAGCTTTGTTTTTCTGTAGGTGATGTGGCTCTGTTGGTCAATTCTTGGAAATGTGAGAACATGTTTCTCAACAGAAAAAAGTAGAAGTTCTTCCTCCAGGTTGGGAATCGAACTCATGGAGAGGAGTTCAGGTACGTTGGTATCTTGCTAAGGAGTGAAAATAGGCAGAAAGTATTCTCTTTGCTTTGACCCACTGAGCAAAAAACTTTATTTAAAAACAGCAAAAAATTACGAATGATTATAATCAATGTTTTAGACTAATTTAAACTCTGTTATGTTTAATGGAGGATGGTTTAAGTTTAAATGATTCTCATCCAAATCTTTGCCTCTCATCCCCCACACATATTTTTACTCCAAGTTGGTTCTTTAAAATTAAATAAATAGAAAACTAAAATAAGTACAAGACAATGTCTCCCACCTCATGCATGGAGTTGTTGCAGAACTGAGAGTGAGAAATTGCTGCTTCATGTACATAAAGGAGAGTTATCGTGCATCCTTCCTCCCAGCATCCATCTATCTATCTATCTATCTATCTATCTATCTATCTATCTATCTATCTATCTATCTATCTATCTATCTATCTATCTATCTATCTATCTATCTTTGAGTAATATGTTTATTTTGAGCAAAAAAAAAGTAATATCTCAATATGTCTCCCGGCAGATGGCGCTGTACGCTCAAAATAACGAATCTGATCGTGAACCTTTTTACAAACCAGGATTACATTTAATTTCAGATCTGCAGGTAGATTTCAATCAAGTATGAGCTTTTAGAAATTTAAATTATTATTTTGACAGTGGATAAACAAAAAATAGAAGCAAAAATGCGTTGTTTCACCGGAAATGAAGACAGGTCATTCATCGTTCATGCCAAAAGGTAACAGTTTCCTCTTGAATTTTCTTTTCTTTTTTTTTTTTTAGTATTTAACCAAGGTTGCTGGATTGTTTTTGGACTTAATGTGTGAGGTTGTAAACATTGACCCTGAGGAAGCGGTGAGGGCGCAGTGTGTGGAGCAGTCCGACCTCCTCTTCCCTCCCCCCGGAGGAGTGGCGCAGACAGAAGGATGGTCCGGCTGATAGAAGAGGAGGCGGCGGCCGCTTCAGGACGCGCAGCGCTGACTGTCGGAGCGCAATGACTCAGACAAACTTCACGACGCTCCGGAATTAGGCTTCTCCAGAAGGCTGTAAATCAGAGCCAGACTGCGGGGTTTTATTTCCACATTGACAAGTTTGGACAAAGTTTCTGAGGCCGTGAGTTTCCGTTCATTTTTCTCACAACTTGCTAGCCTGGCAGGTGCTTTCAGCGCTCAGACAGACGCATCTTTGCTCACTTTCTTTCTATCCTTTTCAGTTTTGTTGTGTTGCAGATTGGAGGAATTTCAGATTTAAACAGACTTGTGCGTAAAAGCGCAGCCGGACTCTGTTTTTAATCCTATTTCTGCGTGTGTGACGCGGCTTTCTGCAGTTCTTTCTGCAGAACGCAGAGTGTCAGCATCTCCTCTAATTAGGCCTCCGTCGATATGTTGGTCCCAGCATGTAAAAGCTAAAAAAATGTTTCTGTCTAAGCCAGGTCAAACATCAGCTGCAGTGATCCACTCTGCGCAGGAGATCAATCAGACCTGAAGAGATGAGCGGCAAGAAGTAAGTATTTGTTTTTACCTTCATGCAAATCTGCTTCATTTCAATTAAAGTGGCAAGAATAAACCCTCATAAATCAGGTGCAACGTTAAAAATAGTCTTCAGGATAAACATGTAAACGGTAACATTAATTATTTATGACATTTTACATCAATTTCTCACCAATCTACATGGACTCAGGTCAGCTTTGTTAAAGTGTGACTGGTTAAACATGGACCACTTTACAGTTTTCACTGTCAAAACGGATTTCCAACATCCTCCAAGATTAAAACTGTTGGTTCAGGTTTTCTTCTAAAAACTAGAACATAAAAAACTGAAATAAGCTTGAATCATTTCTTCTGGTAAAAAAAGAGAGGATTTAAACAAAAACACACATATAGTTCCATAAAAATCCTAAAATTACATGTTTTGCTTGACTGAGATTTAGTTGTAAAAACTAAAGATTGAAGGGGGAATCTAACTTTGTGATAAATTACAATAAACTGACTAAGTAATTCACCTTTATTGACGCATTTCAAAAAGTGAAATTTAAATAACTAGATAAAGGATGTATTCCAAGTGTTCATTGCTGTCAAGTTTGATCATTAAATGTAATGACACTCTAAACAGAAAATGATCCACAAGGTCACTACTGATCAACCTGGCTGTTTCCAGGTGTGTTAATAAAAAGTTAAGTGGAAGGAAAACGTGTGGCTAAAAAATGCATGAGAAATAACTGCAGCTTTGAGAGGAAACAGAATTTGAGCTAGAAAATGGCCTGACCTAAAACTCAGAGAGAGTTTATGAAGAAGAAGAGGCTTGAGCTGAATTAGTTCATCAGATTAATCATAATGAATCAGTTACTGAATTGATCACCAACTAATTTAGTTTAACCAAATGGCCTTATTCAGAATAAGGACATTTATGGAAAGAACTACATACTCAGAGCAGAAATTAAGCCAACATTGTACAAAAAATACAATAATTTTCCAAAACAATATTTTCAAATAAATATTTACAGACAAAACAACTGTAAATATGTTCAAACTCTTCAAATGGTTTTGTTTTAGATCTGCCCAGTTTAAACTCTGTTAAAAAAATCTCATTAAACTGGTTTTTCTATCCAAATATTAATCAGTTAATCTGAAAAATAATCAACTGGTCAGCTCTACACTGTACTGATTTTAAGCCAAGCAGAAATGGCCGAGCTTCAAAAGTACAAAAGTATTTATCTTTTATCTGCTGATGCATCAAATAATCACTTGTTCACTAAAAATGCTATATTTTCATAAAATGTCAATGTTCTTATTTAAAAAAGGAGTTGAACTGTTTATTTGCATCTTTTAATGTGTATAATACTGTATAAATAGACTCAAGCGCTTAAATTAAAAGAAATCTGCAATTAATCAATTAATCTTCAGGATACCTGCTTACTAAAATAATTGTTAGTCAGCGGTAATTAATGCAAAAGGAGCCCCAACTCTGTATTTTACTGTAGAATGCATTCATATATCTCTTTACTAAGCCAGTAGTGCTGGATTTAAAAATGTAATATTGAAAAAAATCTACATTTTCATTAGCTGTCATCCAGTTTGTTAAAATAACTCACTTCATGGTAATTATTCTGCTTTTTGATGACACTATTATCTAGAGAGACACACCTGTTTGCCGATTCATGCGGCACATTGTGGCATCGACCTCTGCAGACCAGATTGGAGAACATGAGTCGTTCTGCTGCATAACGTTCACGTGTCTCATGCAGATACCGTGCACCATAAAGCGGAGCGTGTTTTGGTCACACAGCTGAGAGCAGAGAGCACCGTCTCCTGGCTGAGCCTCATGCAGGCTGGTGCCGGTCCAACCAGAGCTCAGATAATGTTATCTGCAAACTGAAACAAAGATAAACACTTGATTTACTGTGACAAATCCAAAGTAACAGGCTGTTACAAGGTTGCTTGTAACCAGAGGAGGGCAGAAAAGCCGTACCAAGAGACGCCCGACTTCAACATGTTTTACTCATGTAAAAGTAAAATGTAGGCTTCCAAGAAATTAATCAAGAGTAAAAAAGTATTTGGTAAAAAGTTTACTCAAGTACTGAGTTACTGGTAAAATTATCAATAATTTACTGTCAAAAAATTACATAATCAAAATATAAAGTTTAGGGAAAATGATGGTATTTTAAGGACAAAAATGGCAATAATTCATATAAGAAACAAAAAATAATAAAATGTTTGCAAATTAGTTTCTTTAAATAAAAAAACTTATGAAACTTTATGAAAAGCTGCAGGTGTGTGAGTCTGGTGGATTTTTGGCTAAAACATTTTTGTTTTTCATTCAGTGGGTAGAAAATCCAGAAATGTTACTCAAGTAAGAGTAGAGATACTTCATAATAAAATTACAAAAGTGAAAGTGAAAGTGAAAAGGACAGCGTAATAAAAATAAGTAACTTTTTCAAAAAAGTTACTCAAGTAAATGTAACTAGTTACAACCCAACTCTGGTTTTAAGATGGTTTTTAACAGTTTTGACATTAATAATAAATTCATCATCAGTTTAAAAATGTGAGACCAAAGCCTTGTTTTTCTGTTCATTAATATATTTTGTCAAAAAATGTTGCACATAAAGTTTAGAATGGGCAGAAGAAAAACTTTTCTGATTTAGAAACAACAAGAGCAAACTAAAGGCATCAATCGGATCACAGCTACAATGTTGTGTTTTTTCTATATTTGCACACATTTGTAATGAAAACAATCTGTTTTATTAAAGTAAACTAGTGTCAAGTAAGATATTGACTACTATTGACTATTAGACAGAACCCCATTCAGAAGTATACATTTAATTTGAAGCAGAAACTTTGAACTTTGTCACTTATTATGAAAGATAAAGAGAATAATAGTTATTCTCTGCACAAAAGGTTATAAAAACTTGAGGTCAGATATTATTAGATTATTATTATTATTTTTATTAAAACATATTTTTGACTGACAAACTCAAACTTATGTTAACTATAGTTCTGAACTTTGAGGGATTTTTCCTCAAACTTGTAACCAAAATAAGTTCCAGTTCATTGACTTTACCTAAATCTAGTTTGTTTTATTACACAAATAATCTCAAAAGATCCAACTTTGTCGGAAAAAATTATTTAATATAAACATTTTCTGTTGTAAAATTATTTTTTCCCAGATTTTTATTGTCACATTTAATTCTGACTGTTCTTGTTTAATATAAGAAGTGGAAAACACACTGAAAACAACATTTAAAAAACAGTAAATTTATCCAGATGAAGAAATAAACCTTTGACTGAACATAGAGTGGTTTTGTTTTTCTGTTTATGGGAATCTCAGACTCTGCAGTTTTTGCTGTTATGTCCCTGCTTGTTCCATAGATGGCAATGGAGGTAGAAGAAAGTCCAGCGCTGGTGAAGCCCAGAGACAAACAAGCCTCTGATTTTAGCTGGCAGTTAATTTCACATTACATTCATGTTTTTCATTTAAGAAAAGAAAAATAGGATTTTTTTAAACATTCAAATCTAACTCAATGTCAACACTCAAGTTTATAGATTTATTGCAGCTCATAATTGTGATTTAGTTGAAAATTAAAATATGTTTTTGGAATGAATGATTGTTTTTAGCGGCTCACAAATTCTATTAAGCAAATATGTATTTGGTCCAAGACATGAACAAATATAAAAGTTATAATAGCAGCTAAATGTGTAACTTTCTTTGGTAACACTTTATTTGAAGGGGTGTGCATAAGACTGACATGACACTGTCATAAATATGATATAACGCCTGTCATGAACATAAAGACGTCTTTATGACAGTTGTCATGAAGTGTCATTCGGTAAATAATGACACTTTTAATGCAAAGTTGCTCTAAAAGTTGCGTTAAAAGTCCATTAAAAATACCAACTTTGCATTAAATTATCATAATTTACAAAATCATGCAAAGTTGCCACTTTTAATGGACTTTTAATGCAACTTTTAGAGCAACTTTGCACTAAAAGTGTCATTATTTACAGAATGACACTTAATGACAACTGTCATAAAATTCATAAAGACTTCTTTATGTTCATAACAGGTGTTATGTTATATTTATGACAGTTTTATGTCAGTCTTATGCACCCCCTTCAAGTAAAGTGTTACCCTTTCTTTATATAATTAGGAGAATGTTGCATTTAGCGCTATAAGATATTAAATTGATGGTAAAGTTTAGCAGTTAATTATTAAGATTTAAATTCATAACTGAATATGGCACAGTTGCTGACCTTTGACCCCTGAGTCAATTGTGTATCAGTAAATAAAATGTCACACTCACAGATTCAAACTAAACATTTAACTTGCTAAGTAAGTATTTACTTAACCCTCTCAATCTTTAGCCGTCTAGCTAAATATGTAATTTGGAGCAAAATATTTGGTTTTTAAACTAAATGCCTAATTTCTAACTAAAGATTTAGCTTGCTAGCTCAATATTTAATTAGCAAACTAAACATTTACTAAATATTCAGATGCTAAATAAATATTTAGTTTGAAGCCAAACTATTAAATATATGGATGCTAAATATTTAGCTTGAAGTTAAATACATAACTTCAAAGTAAATATTTAGCTAGCTTGATAAATATTAAGTTTGCTAGCTAAATACATCATTGGAGCAAAGGATTTAATTTGTAAACTAAATGTTTACTTTCAAACAAAACATTTACCTTTCTATCTAAATATTTAATCAGCAAGCTGTTAAATTTGATTATATGTTAGTTAATCTGTTTTCTGAGATCTCATCTGGGTGTTGAATTTTTTTCCAGTTGACTCCACCAACCTTTCTTAGCTGGCCTTTCCTCTGCCTACATCCCCCAGAATGCTGTGCAGTTCTGGTTAAATTATTGAACACATTATCTATTGATATTGATCACATGTCTATTGTGACATGTTTGTTATTGATTTGCTGCCCCTCCCGGCTCTCATTGGACATTTTCACAAAGCTAATCTCCTTTTAGCGAAGAAGAATTGAAACATTTTCATCATTTTCTGGTCCATGTTTGTTGGAAAACAGCTCGATCGTGTGTAGACGTCTCAGAAAGCAGCAGAGAAACTCTCCTGGACGTGTGTGTGTTGTCACTTAAGCAAAGCCAGCATAATCTCGTAAGGGCGGATGAGTAGACAGACATGTGATGGCCCACTTGTTTCTAAGGTGGAGGGTGTTAGAAAGGGGTGAGCATTAGCAACAGATGGAGAGGCTTTGTAGTATGTGTGGGTGTCTGGCTAATCACACTCATTAATTTTTACTTTAATTTGACATTTTCTGGCTGTGACGGAGCATCTCTGATGGAGGGATGCTGTTGATTTGACCAGGTTGGGGTCTAATTTGGAGCAACACCACGTTTCTGTGGATCACACTCAATTAGCGGACTTCCTGTCCTCTCCGTCACCCTGCTGTACCAGATTAAAGCCACAACGTTATACCTGCCGCACTTAGCCCTCGTCAAGGACGGCACACACGCGCTCGTACAGTTGGGCTTGTTTACTCGCTGGTGCAGCCTCTGGTGTTTTATGGTTCTTTAATGGGCGGAGATGAGCGCCACCAGCAGCACCAGACTGAGCCCCAGTCCCAACTTACTGCATGTCAACGAGCCGAAGCGCTATGGCTCCACGCTGTCGCTGGAGGAGAAGTGTGAACAGTCTTTCTTCCTCTTCTACTACTACAGGATGGAGGACGAGGCGGTGGTGGACCGCGGGGCGTCCTTACTCAAACACCTTTGTGACGAGGAGGAGGTAGAAGGTGAGTTTGCCTGTTTTTATTTTACTCTAACTTCCCTTGTTTTAGCAGTTTTACCTTCAATCTACTGGATGATGTAGGTTTGGAAAGTCTGGTATCGTCTTTTCAAAGGAAAGTCGCTCATTGATAGGAGCAGGATGAATGTTGAGACTCTTAACGAGTGCCAAATTGGCACACTTCCTGTTTGTACTGTACGGCCTGGTCTTCACCTATTTAACGAGCTGGCAAGATGAAGATGTAGAACACAGAGCATGTGATCCAGTGTTTACCTCACTAATCCCCCGAGAGACCGGCAGGACGGCAAGGAAGAAGAAAAAAAGTCTGGTAGAGTACTAATGATACGTGCAGCAACCTCTAAACCGGTTGGCACCTCTACGAAAATCTTTATTTTTGGTAGTAGCTTAATTTTACTCAAAAAATATTGGAAAAGGTTTGGAACCAGGCATGCAGACAATTTACTATTAATTGTCCATTAATGGTTTATTCCAATTGATTAGACCTTCTTTCAGTGTTGTAGTTTGGCCTCCATCCAGAAAGGTCTGCTGCTAGTCATCCTTAAGAGGATTCAGTTGATACAGAAATAAAGATGGCACTGCCATATCAGAATGGGAAAGAGAAAAATTACACACAGAGTGCGGTGTGGGATGCAAGATCCTCTTTATGCAGTTCTGATTTGAAATATAAACAGTCAACATGTCCTTAACATTAATGGCGCTTATTCAGAATTCCTTTCATTTTCACTATTAACAATCAAAAGCACAATAAAATTTAAGAAATACAGCCGAACATCTCTGAAAAGCAGAAGTGAAGCCTCCTGCACAAGTAACAGAAAAGTCAACAACAAAACACTTATCTTTTCCTGCAGCCATTGTGACCAGATATGCTGGAGCTCAGCTTGGGTTGCTAGGTAACCTGCCGGAGTTCCGCTGGGGTTGCTAGGTAACCTGCCGGAGTTCCGCTGGGGTTGCTAGGTGACGGCGCTGTGCATGCTGATTTGTTACGTTACATTCCGGAGGTTTTTGAAACGGCTCATTTTCCTAAAAAACATCAACTTATTGCCAAAAACCGATCAGATGGTTGAGACAGTTGAGACCCAAACTGAAATACAAAAATGTGCAAAATGTGAATTTTGCACAATAGACCCCCTTTAAAATCAAATATGGAAGATGTAAAACTGTTGTATCTGATTTATCTCTGTTATGTTAGTTCTGTCGGATAATCAGTCACATTTAAGCAGCATCTTTTGAAGGTGCTCGTATTGGTATGCGGTCAGGGGTCTGTGGTGTGTCGCCATCCTCCTTACTGGTCTGGGGAGTTCCCAATGCCTTTGTCGTAGCTAGGAGATCAGGTCGTACTGTTTCCTCTGGTGGAAAACCCAGCGAGCTACACAAACCTCCCAGAAAATGTTTAGTTTTATTCAGTGTGTGCTTACAGGCTGTTTTTCATCCACCTCCTAAAAGGAGAGGAGGAAGTCGTTTGACAAAGCTGCTCTGGCAGCGTGTAAATCATCCTGTCCAGAGCCTTGGCTCAACTATTTTTAATTCCTCTCTTCTGTTTCTCCGTCTTTCAGGATGTTCAGTCATGGCAAATGAAGGCTCCATCCTAAATGCCGTTGCCTGTTTTTTATTGTCATATCTTGTTGTCATACCTCAATAAAGTAGAATACCATTGAAAACTTAATGTATTTCAGTGGTATTACTGTCAGACTTAGAAAAACGTCAGCTTGTTTGACAGTAAAGTCATAAAAGTAGCAGAATAAATATTCAATGCTGCAATAAGAAAGTTGAAAAAATTACATGAAAAAAGTTGTTTTATTGAGATGAGAGCTGGGACAGATTCATGAAGTTGGTCTGATTCTTTCTTTGAAATGGACTCAGTTTTTTTTTTACAATCGTTTCAAAGTCCTGCGGCTGATGATAATTTGATGCTGATGTGATAACAGATAAAGGCAATACCCAATTACAGGTTCACACGATGCTCAACAGTCCTCGTTTTAATTTTTAGTTTTCATGGAGAAATTCTCATAAATTTAATACTTCGATAATATATTACTTTATTCTTTGATTATTTTGACTTTATTCTTGTATTTTTATGACTTTATTCTCATATTACGATTTTATTCTTGTATATTACCACTTTATTGTGATAATATTGTGGCATTATTCTCCTAACACTGACTTTATTATTGTAATATTACAGCTTCATTCTGGTAATAACAATAATAATAATAATTAATAATAATAATTCTATATTGTTACATTATTAAAATTTAACTGAGAGCTAAGTCATTAATATGACTTTACTCCCATGTTATTAAAACTTATGCCTGTATTACAATTTTATTCTCACAAAATTACGACTTTATTCTTGTATTATTTTAACTTTGTTGTCATAATAATGACTTTACTCTTGGAATATTAGAATTTTATTCTGTAAATAAAAATAAAGAAATGTCTTAGCCTGGCCGTGATGCTCCGTCCCTCGTCTGTATCGATGGCTCTTGTGTTTTTGAAGACAGTTTTTTTAGCCAACGCAGGTCAGTGACACCTTGGCCATAAAATGAGGTTTTGGTGATTTAGGCAACGTGAGCAGCTGCCAAGTCACACTGGAAAGCAAAGTCATCATCTTCATTAAGCTCGTCAGTAGAGGAAAGATTGAAAAGCTGTAAAATTCCTGGAGGACGTCTGAGCCGACTTTGAAGTTGATAAAACAAAGTGGACCGACGCCAGCAGATAACGTTTCTTCCCAAACCACCGCTGATGGTGGAAATTTCGCTCTGGACCTCGAGCAACATGGATGCCTCTCCGCTTGGACCTTCACTTTTGGACCACTGAGCAACAGCAATAGGCATAAAGCCTTTTTGCATTATTTGCCTGTTTAATCCTATTTTTAATGTGTAGATAATTATCGTACCTAGCTTAACTTTAACAAACGTTAAGTTTTAGTTGTAATTGGCCCTTTTTTGCCAGAAGATGCTGGTAGGATTTTCTTTGCCTGACTGATCCTGTGTTTTCATGTTGTCCCATAAACATGCGACACGGGTTGCTTTTGTTGACCCCAAAACCCGCCAGGTTGCAGTTCTGATGTGGGTGATGCTGGCTAAGTCTCTTGACGATTTCTTCCAACATCCACCTGTTTTATTTTATCTTTTTTATTCTTTTTTTTTTTTTACATCAGCACAGGTATCTTTCCTGATTGGATTTTTAGCAGTAATATGTAATTGTGTTCAATCCTCTGTATCATTGATACTGAGAGTTTATGGTAAACCACTGATGGATTAGACAAAACAAACAAAAACCAGGACATTGTGCTTTGAGCGAATAATGAAGGCTATTGTGCTTGAAGACAGATCATTGTTTGATGCTGAGGGGTTCAGTCACTTGCCTGTGGGGTCATGTGCAGTGCTTGGCTCAGCTTTACTCCAACTGGTCCAGAAGGAGACATTTGACACTGATGCTCTTTTGTTTCACTACTTTATGATCCCTTTTAGAAAACATGTTCCAAAGACAAAATGTATTTTCAATAACCTGTTTGAAACCCTGAAGGATGGATCTTTAAAAAATCTTTTGGCAAAAGAAGTTTCTATACTTGAGTTTGCAATTTTGCAAACTTGAGCTTGCATTAATTATTTTTCCAGATCTGTGCTGGAAACTATTACCAAAATGCTAATTTTTTCAGGTGTTTGCACTTTTTGTGAAAAGTCAATAAATCTTTCCTTTTTTAAATGGTTCTGATTCATTATATTTTGTTAAAAATATATTTTTACTTTAATTACGTTAAAGAACTGATCTAAAACTGTCAAAGTTGGGTTGGATTTTGGTGTTCCCAATTTCAATTATTTTTATGTGGTTTTTGCACATTTGATAACTTTTCTAACAATAGTTTAAGTTTTTAAAATGAACTATAAGTAAGCAAAAACCTTCTAGACAAAGTTATATATATGTATTTTATATGGTTTTTGGAGAGTTTTAAGTTTGAACCGTCCAAAGAGTCGAGCTAACGTCCAGCTAACAGGCAGCAGATGACCGTTGCTAAGCTAACAGCTACTCAAAGCATTTGAGAGCCAAATTCCACCATCTAAAACGGCTTATTCAAAAATTTCCTATTAAAAATGTCATTAGTTTTTTTAATACACCCTGTAGAAATTTACTGAGTTTTTGCTGTTGTAACAGTCATTATGCTGTTTGGTTCCTAGAGATGAGTAGGTATCACCACAAGGGGGCGCCTACTCCCTTTGTTGTACTATTGTACAGAAGAAGAAGGAGTCTTCCATTTTGTTGTAGAAAAGAACATAGATGATGATGAGGTGCAGAGCGGTAAACTAACGTTACTTTTTCTCATGTATGGAAATATAATGCTTAGTACCGTGGAGATCTGGCTTTACGTGGACGAAGTTAAATAAATCGAAAGTGTGGAATACTTCAAAAGTGCGTCCTGCTGTTTTGAGTTAGAGTGGCTAACCACTGCTGCTAACTCCTTCTCCAACCTCTCGCCGCACCGTCACACTGTATTTATATTTAATTGGGTATTGTTCAAGTTTACAATGATTAGCACTTAGCATAGCAACTGTCGTTCAGGAAAGCAAACGGCAGCTTTGCTAGCAACAGTGTTGTGGAGAAGAACTTTCAGTTTGTGTCTGTTAACAAAAACTTGACAGTTTTATGAGACATTTCTCCTCATTTTCCAAAGAAATTGCTGTCTAAGTTTGAAAAACAAATCATATTATTTGCGCAAAATATGGTTGAAATACCTCAAAATGTGATCAAAGCAATTAATAACTTCCCAGATAGATAATTAAAAACAATTCACATGATCAAGAAGCCTGTTGAATTTCAATGCCTTTATCTCAGGTTTCTATTGAGAATCAAAATGCAACATAAACTCTTTGACCCTAAACCACCTAACCATATATAAAGCTGCATGTTCTCTTTGTTATTATATCAACATATATAGGAGGGTTGAAGCCAAGCAGACAGTCTTGGCGTCTTTGCTGTTATGTGACACTTCTTTTTCTGTCGGAGTATTTGTTTTGACAAGGTACTGCCACCTTTATTTCCATGCTGCTCTGTCTCAAGTCTTTAGTGAGGAATGGTGGTTTATGCATGTAGTTTTCTTTTTTACTCCCTCTGCACCTTGTAATACTCACTTTATGATTTATTTACTCTCAATATGCTGTAATTCCCAAAAATAATTACTTTAGGGAATGCCTTGTAAATAGGCATGAAATTATTGATTTGATTAATCATCAAATAATTTAGTAATCGATTAATCGTTAACTGAAGTGTACAGACTCACAAAATGCAACTTATTCAGAGGCAACCAAGCCTAAACTTTACAAGAAGCAAATGTGCATTTAAGATAAAAACATTTTTTTGTTTTAGCCAAAATTCCTCAAGTTGAAAAGTTTTAGCATCACCTGATTTACAAAAGGAATGCAATGGTGTTGCATTTTAGGCAATAAAATATTTATTTTTTTATTTCAAAAATTATTTATTGTCTTTCTAACTTTTTATTAAAAAGGCCTGAATTAAAAAATCTGTTAATTGTGCCATTTTTTCGATTAATCGTTAGTTGCATCCATAAAAACACATGATGACGTATTTAACGTGGTCTGAATGTTCAGATCTCATGAGTTTGTTTCTCTTTTGTGCCTTTTGCAGGTCACCACACCATTTATATCGGAGTGCGTGTTCCTAAAAGCTCTCGGCATCGGAGGCGCCACCGCCGGAGAACCAGCCACAAGGACAGAAAGGAGAAGTTGACGGGGAGCGAGCTTGACAAGTCGGACACAGAAAACAACGACGAGGCCAGCAACAGCATCCTCAGACCTCTCAGTAAGTTCTGATGGACTCCGTGTCAGTGCTGATTAGGTTTCATGCCTCTCTGCTGAAGGCTGCTCACTTTTTCAAGAAAAATGCCCCCGTAACATCCTGTGACCCCCAGCAAAGTTGCTGAGTCCACTCAGGGGCCAGAAATAGCTCTGCCATGTCCTGCTGAGTGACACGTTTATTTTGGATTTTCACTGCATCTAATGGTTGTTATAGCCCAGCACTGCAAAAACACAAAATCTTACCAAGTGTTTTTGCAGTTTCCTGCCGTTTTGACCTCGATTGTTGACCTACACTTACATATAAGGTGGTGCTTGTATTTTTGGGGTTTTCAGGGCCTGTGATCCAGGTTTCAGGGACCAAAACAAGAAACCGATGACCTTCAGGAAGGGAATTATGTGTAATGGTAAAAGAGAAAGAAGTAAAATGTTATAACGGCCATTGAGGTGATTTGACACCCTTGTTAAATTGGCTTATTAGCAACGTGTTTTTACTGCTAACAGCTTTAAATCAAGCTTGAATAATCTGAACTTGGAGAAGAAAAAAGTGCAGTTCACCTGCAGAAGCCGACAGCTAACAACTTAAACACTAAACAGTCACAGTAACTAATTTCACTGGATGATAAATTGTCCCATAAGTTATTGTTATAAACGAGGATGTCGTTGTTTTTAATATAATGCTAGTTGACATAATAATAATGCAAGAAGCCATTTTCAAAGATCAATAAACTTTAAATCCTAATAAACATTTAACACTGGAAGATGTTTTAAATATCCAAATAAACAAAACAACAGAAACAACGAATAAAACGATTTATAAAGTCTCTGTAAACAAAATTAGCCGTGATAAAAAGAACTAATTGAGACCAAAACACCAGACTGAAAACTTTTATCATCCAGTTTTTGGTAGAAAAAGAGAAAAACAATAATACAAATGGAAATTATTGATCTTCTTTTAATCAATAAAAGAAGATAATTGTTTAATTAAACAATTAATTTGGAATTAATTGTTTAATTTTTGCAATTAATTGCAAAAACTATTAATTGAGTTTTTGCTACAGGTTTGTAAAGTTGGCCAAATGGAGCTAAAAGCTGAACTTTATTTTTTTTGTGGTCGTTTGGCTGATTAGATCTTTTTGTTGAAGTTGTTCGGACCGCTCGCTGCAGCTGCTGGGGCTGAAAATGCACCACACTAGTGATGCGTTTAGGGACGGATGCTACGAATACATAGTGATGCAGGTATTAGATTGTCTTCATTTATGTTTCTTGTTTCTGTCCCTATAAATAAACAATAAAAAGTAAAGTACTGCTACAACGATGGAGTAGCAGGAGCAAAACTACACAGCATGTCATGACAAACTTTGGCTAATTGATGGTAATCTTCGGATCATCTTGGTCTTCTTGGCAAGTAATCGATGTTTGGAGAAACAAAACTTAATGCTGTTGTAGGCGTTTCTCATTTGTACTTGAAAACTCTTTGAATACTTGTTGAAACACATATTGTACTTTTAGGGGCTTCATGTTCCTCTCTGCAAAGCTTTGCCTGCATTAGCTGAACAGTTTTAATAAAGTTAAATGTGGCACATTTAAATATCATACAACACAGTTAAATATGGCTGAACATGGAGCAGATGGGTTAACCTGATTCTCTGGATGGAAGATAAATATGAAGAAATTAACATAAAATATCAATCTAACACTCAGTCTCCTTTATCTGAAATTACAGATGCTTCAAAATGAAACAGAAACAGTCAAAAATGTGTCCTAAATATTTGTCTTGTGCAGCAGATTACCATAACATGAAGATGCGTTAGCGGCTAACGATCACAGATTGATTGCATCATTAAAATAGCTTGTAGTTCTGGAAAGAAAGAAAACTGGAGCAGTTTTCTGATTGCACAACGGTGTGACATTATTCCACTGTGTAAAGGCTTAGCTTGCCCTTGCCCCTCTGTCAAATCCAATAATGAGACGGAGCTCTGACGTTTCCAGAAAATGATATAATTTTACACATGTCTGCTCGCACGTGATGCGACAACAGGACCAAAACATGCCAGGACTGGATTTTTATGTGTACACACACCGATGATGATGGGATTTCTCAAAGACAGAAATCCAATCTGTGACTGGATTAATGCCAGAGTATTTGATTTTTTTCCCTTTTATGTTTATCTTGTTTCTTACACTGCAGTTATTCCTTTGTCTGCTCCTTTGATTGTGTCTTGACAAAATTACAGCTAATATTTTGACAAATACGTCATTAGCAGGATAAACCTTTTTTACTCGGTTTATTTTTGATCTCTAGAGATTAATAAGTCGAGATAAGATGTTGATAGATACCAAAAGTTTATTCTTCCACATTTTCATACATAGCAATATCAGACTTCAATGTCTTATACTTTCTGTGAAAAAACAACCCCAAATCTGAAAAGTGTGGCATGCTTTTGTGTTAACACTTTTTTTTCTTACACCTCTCAATGAAATCGTCTTTTGAAGTCGTCTAATTAGTAAAAAGCATTGAAGGCTTCAGGGAACATAAGTTAACTTCTGCTTAGTTTATTTATGTAGCAAATGTTGCCTCAACACATCTTGCATAACAAATGATCCAGTTTACAGACAAAAACATGTCAGTTGAATCTAATTATATTAACAGATTTAATGCCAACTGCATACATGTTATTAACAGTTTATTATGCCAACTGGTAAAATGTTTCCTATCTAAGCCGATTGCATTGAGTCACTGACTTTGAGCAAATTCCTCCTGAACGAGTTTGTAATCTCACTGACAGTTTAACTTTGCAGGAACCCGTCATATACGGTGGCCCCCAAGGGTCAACTAAATTTGAATGCCACAACACAACAGGAAAAAGCTGGAATGGAAGCGAAGCTATGACAGAAGTTATGTTAAAACTAAAGCTAAGCTAAATCAGAAGCTTTACAAAAAATGTAAGTTGTGCTAAAACTGAAGTGGTGTTAAATGGAGTCAGGCCATTTTTAAACAAAAGCTGTGCCAAAATGAGAGCTATGCTAATGCAGTAGCTATGCTAAAACTGAAGATATAACAGAAGTCACTCCAGGAAAACCTGCTAAAGGGTAGAAATGATTTGAATGGAGTTTCACCTTCAAGCTGAAGAAAATCAGTTTAAAGCTGCAAATACTTAGAATGCAATTGATTAACATCTGTTCATTTGTTATAACGGCCCAGTCAAAGTCCAGACCTTTGCATCACTGAAGTACGTTTGTGTTAAAGACGAATAGCGGAGTCATGTGTAATTCCTAAAAAACCTTTATTTGAAGTCAGACTGCTGAGCAAGGACTACCAACCCACAACACGCCGGCTTGTTGACAACAATAATATTAATCATCCATTCATGGAAGAGGCGACAATGTTGGCCTGAGGCTGTGGGACTCTGACGTTCTGTTAGCAGTCAACAGGCCTGCTGGGATGGTGGAACAAAAAATAAAAACGTAGCGGCTGTCGTAAAAACCGCCATGAAATGAAAGCATTCATGAAATGCATCGTGAAAAACCACAACAAACAGCGTCGGGAAAAACCAAATTGTTCATTTGTTTTATTATGTAAACAGACTTTTGCATGCCGTCTTATGTAATGGACTGCTGCTGGTCTGACCACAGATGTTTGAGCTCACTGGTAACTTTCCTGAATTTTTACTCAGCGATGATGTGAGCTGAGATGGATGGAAACTACGTTTACTCTGGTAACTTTTTGAAAAAGTTTTTACCGTGCTTTTTACTTGTTATTTTAGAGAAACACTATTTATATTTGAAAACAAACTTTTAAAAAATTAAAATGATCATTTTTATTAAATATATACAGGAAATTTGAAATAATGAACATTAAATGTTTATTTTTAGAGTTTAAAATAAATAAAAGCATAACATTTAGCATAAAGGATGTGGATACATCTTCAACTGTAGGGTGATACAAACAAGTTCATAGTTTCCAAGAGAAATAGAGGTAAGAAAATATTTTTATTATTGTTCTGTTATGGAAATTTGTTGCAGTTTTTCCATAGAAAAACTGAAAAAAGCTAAAACCTGCATTTGTTATTGCAGGTTTTAACATCCAGTTATGTCCAAGTTTAAAGCACTAACAGTGCATTGAGGAAGATAAGTGCAGCATTTCTGCATGTTCTCCTCATGCACATTAGGCATTTGTTTCTTTTACACTGGACCCCCAGAAATTACACTTAAATCAGAGTCAAACAGCACGATTTCTTACTGTTTTATTAGAATTGAGTAAAATGTAAATATCAGATATATTAGACATTTTTAGATATGTAAAAATAAGTTTGGCGATGGATGATCTGTTTTATTCTGTTTTCCAATATTTCTGCATGTGTCCCAAAGGTTTTGATTATAATTACAACCACAGGTATTTCTACGAAGCATCAACTCAGGAGAGTTCATACAAATGCACACCGCACTTTTCAGTTATTTATTCATAAAATTAGGTAAAATCATAAAATCACTTCACAATTATGCTCAAATGTTTTGGTCTTTTGCATAAGAACTACAGTACAGTAAAGTTTCTGACTAACTGTGGCTAAGCAGGTCGAATTTTAACATTTAAAATTTTCCTTCATTTAGGTTTTGGGTTTGATTGGAGGTAAAAATGTAAAATCTGTAACTTTTGCTGGATGCAGCCTCTACTCTTTGCAGCCATCTGCCATGCAGGCAGCAAACGCAGCGGCACGCGGTCCACCTTATGTCCTGCTGGTGTTCCCTCCATCTTCCTCTCCCTGGGAAACATAAAGCCTCAAGGGAAGTTTCTGTCTGGATGCAAATCCTCTTGTTTAGTCAGATGGACGCTGCAGGGTCAGCTGTGTGTCCGTGCAGCTATTTGACCCCTCCTCGTTTTGATGAGCACGTTCTGTTTCAATCCCATCGTTTTTCTACCAGGATCAAATGTTCCCTCAAACTGGATTACAGAGATTGCTTAGATACTTGTGCTGAGTCTGGAAAGGGTTTAATTTTCCCAAAGTC